ATCTTAAAAATCTATTACATCAGAAGTTGACATTTTCTTGCCTACATAATAAACTTTAACCATCTCATATGGCCAATTCTCAGGTCCTCTCTTTGATTTTCTAGGTATTTTCAGTATGAGATTCTTAAGAAAATATTTTTATAACCAATAACTTATTTTAAAACGAACAATTAAATGAATTCCATTTACTCTGATATTTTAGAATGAAGCCAGTGATTATGTGATGGTTTTCTCGTAGGACTATCTTTCCTGTCATAATGCCTAGGTTAATTCAGTACTTACTCTAATTGCCGACTGTCATAGAGTACAAGACAGACACTTGGGTCTTAGCAAACTTAAAGGAGAGATAATTCCTTTAGTCAACAGTATTATTACACAGTGTGTTAGTTTGATGGTAACTATTGATGAAATAGACAAAACTGAGTTTGGTTGTATGATTATTTGAATAACAACAAAATATTTCAGCAAGCTTTATTCCTATTTGTTTTCTTGAGATCTGGCCTTGCTTTGTAATTCATGATGGCCTTGAACTCATGATGATTCTGCTGACTGATGCCCCAGAGTGCTAGGATTATGGGTGTGCACCACCAACACCAGTTTATGTCCATACTTTAAACTGCATTATTAACAACAAGGTGGATTTTGACAAGATTTACTTTTTTTCTGTTCAATCTATGTTCACATGAACTTTTTCCAAAACTTTCTATTAAATATAAAAGTGATATTTCTAATAAAATTTAAGGAGGTTGTGCTTATATGATTAGTACCAATAATATAATGAAGAGAAAGAAAAAATAAAAGTAAAAGACAGAGGGAAGAAACTTTAGGAAATGTTTTACATTAAATTCAGGTGCTACTAAATAGTAATTGTAAAAGATTCTTTTAAAAATAAAACAAAACTATTTTAACAATATGAAATAACAAAGTAATTAGTAGAATTTAGTCTTTATTTATGCAATATTGTGCTTTAGGTAGTGGATAATTTACACTGGAGGTCAAATTTTTCTTTATAAATATTCTCAACACTTATCTAGAAGGTGTGGATATGTAAATGGGATACACTGTTAAGCTTTATAACAAATCTCTCCTACTAGCCACCTGGAGGAGCCTTTCAATTTTACTTTGCACAAGTTTTCTGTGTTCCTTGTAAATCGTAGTTGTGTACCAACCATGGCATCATACACTGTTACCTGATGCTGTGTGTTTGTCTTTTGCTCAGAACACCCTTTCCATTTGTTGTCTCCTAGCTTAAGCTTCACCCAAGCGTTCTTAGTCCACTTGCAAGGCCCACTTATTCAGGGTTGGCTACCATTATTTCTAGGTATCTTAATTTTATACATATCTCTTCTAAGATAAGATTTTTTCATTCTACTGTGTTGGCCTCACAATTTATTTACAGCAACATATGAAATGTTCAGTATATTATACTGAAAGAACTACTGAATAAATTCTTGGTGTGAGATTTTACTCAAAGCTACCAGATCAGGAAACTTAGATGCCTTCATTGTATGGCATTGAACAATTCAAGCAACTTCTTATAGCAATGTAAGACAGTTATTGCTTACAAGCAAATGTTGATAGTTGTTTCTTCTTTTATTAATAAAACATCAATAAAATGAAATATTCCCCAGAAACTACACTGAAATTATTATAGGAAAATATAAGGCCAGGTATCATAGAAAGAATACTTAGTGAAATGGACTCCCAAGTATGTAAAAAACAAAACTGCGCAATGTGATACATGGGCGAGTGTGACATAACAAGTGAAAACTGCTAGCAGTGCTTAATGCTATTCTACAGTTTTTAGAAATGACATTGATAGGTCTCAAAAGATTTATTATAGCTACAAAGATGGGGCTTTGCAGCCTGTAGGAAGGGATAAGTGAAATTAAATGCAGGAATATAAAAGGGAAAAAGAAAGGTTGTTGCAGCAGTCTTACATGAAACTATCATCACCGCTGTCTGAAAAAGAAATAAAAGTATGAAGGGCTATAACCTTCTTGTTAGATGGATTTCAATTTGACTCAAAATTTTCTAGAGGCCAAATAAAAACAGAAATCTGATCAATTTCATAATTTACACCATCCATGATAAAAGCAAACCAATTTACTCAGGAGAAGTACAATTATTTCTGCTACTAAAACCTGAAAGAAATTTTCCCCAGGGGTCATTATAAAGAGGACACTATAAAACATAGCAAAGTATGCTTTGCACAATGGCTTTATGATCGACACCTCTGAGGGTTTCAGAGAGGATTTTACGATATTCCTCCCTCTGTACTGATAAGCTAGCTGCATAGTTCTGTATGTAGACACAGTTATGTCTGTATAACTTCAAAAGCAAATGAACAAAATAAGTTTCCAAGATTCTTTAAGAATGTTTTTTTCTCACATTTACCTCTTCACATACATCTGTTAACAATAAATTTGAAAATACTTAAAGTATTAACTCGGTAATTAGCTATTGAACAAATATCTATTGAACATAAATATATAGCACCAATTAAACCTACGGGAAACACAGGGACTAAAAATAATTTTTAGGAACAAAAATAATGCAACTGTTCTGTGATATTGCTTAATAGGTATATGGCATTGTATATACATTGCACTGTTATTATATAACTTATGTAAATAGTTGTCAGATGACCTCCAAGTAAAAATTAATATTCTGTAATAACACAGATCATATGTCTTCTCAAAATTCAATGTTATTCTGCTTACTATAAGTGTGCAGCATAGATATTATTCTGCATTAATGAATCCTCTGTTTCAATACAGATACAATAGATTTTTGAAATCTTAATCTCATTCTATTTCATGTTTCACATTAAAAATTTTTAGAAAACACTGTAGTACTCTAAGTTGTGACTATAAATTTTCTCTGTAAATATTATCAATGCACCTAATCAATAACTATATATTGCTCTCCTGTTCATTTCCACCTATTATACCAGGATCTAGATATACAGTATTACATAAATCAAGGTCTTACATCTCATCAATTATAATGAAACAACTTTGTACACCACAGTTTAGGCTGCCGTTCAGTAGCTATTAGGTAGCAGGATGGGTCTGCCATGCTCTGTGCCCAAGCTTCCAGGTCAAGGTGCCATGTACAACAGGATGCTCTCAGACTGAATCTTGAAGTATGGCAGGATTTAAAAGAGCAGTGTGGGTGTGTCATTCTAAGCAAAAAGATTAATAATGGAGGACATGTTAAAAAGCATAGAAATTTTAGAGCATGTACATTTATGACTACAATGTAAGGGAAAAGATAAATTATAATCAGAAGGGGTCAGATATTGTACAACCACAGGTCTTAAATAGAAATGTTGACTAAAATGTCAGGGGATAGGGTTTTTAAAAAAGCCACGCCCAAATTTTCTGATCAAGGAGATTATGGGGCCACAGAGGAAAGTGATCGATGATGTAGAGTGTGCCTAAGTAGAGTCACATGGAGAGAAAACATTCTCTCAGGTTTTCACAGAGAGCAATTTGGTCAAGCAATGGCCATGACTCATGCACATGGCTGACACTGACAGAAGATCTACAAACTGTGGTATAGGGTTTCAGGATAAATCTTGAGGGGATTTGACTGACCTTATCAGAAAAAAAAAACACATTTCTTGTTATATAGGTCTTGCTTTATCTTGGTCTTAACCATCCAGCAGAAAAGTATAAAAACAAAGTATAAAAAGTAAAGCCATATTAATATGCTGAGCTGTAAAAGGCTCAACACAACAACTTCTGACATTGCCAGTCTTACAGAAAGCCCACTACTATTATGGACTACTGGACTATTTTGGAATATTTTGCTGAATTCACACACTTATAATATGTAAATGACAAAACTAAACCATAAAAAGGGATACAAATAAATTAAAGACCATTTTGTATCTGTATATTCAAAATAGGATAAATATACAGCTACAGTCTCTTAATTCAATGAATAGAAAGATTTGGTCTAATAGTGTTTGTAAACAGGATATCATATCTGCATCTTGTACAAGGAATAATCACTAAGGCAACAATATGCAATGTATTAATTATTGAAACTGTCCTGCTAATCGAATTTGAAACTGTCTCATTGCTATTTGTTTCTCAATAAAATTATGGGAAAAAAGCCATGAATGATGCCATAAGCACATTTATGTATTAGAAATACAATTTTGACACCATCATGGAGAATGCAACTGAGGTGCTAGAATAGGTTGAATCAGAGTAATCAGGAGGTTACAGAAATCTGGAAAATAATAAATGTGACTCTAACATAAGCCAGAGACATTATCATGAGAGATCATAAGTGGGTGTAATGTGTAGGATTTGAAGATTTCTACGAACTGTATATTCTGATTCTTTTCCTTTTGAATAAATAACGATGTGTCTTACAGTGTTAATTTTTTGTATGAATTTATTGTAATTTTATGATTCATATGTGTATATCCAGGCTTTTAAAAATGTAAAATGTTATTCTTTTCATGTTCACTAAATCTTACATAGCAGCACACTTGAAACTTGAACATTTAATCACTTAGTACACTCTGCCTGGATAACAAAGCTCAACATTATAATCCTCCATTTATTACAAGATCTGTGCTGTCTCAGATACATTTACACTTCAATTACAATTACAATGCTTTCATCTTAACAGCTTCTAGTTTCTGAAGGATTGAGCCTCAAGGATTATGCTATAATGAGAACAAAAGTTATTGACTACTTTTTTCTTTTCTTCCTGAGAAGCTTTGCTAGTCCAATAAAAGTGAAGCAGAATTTATGCCAAGATTTTTTTCACCCACAGGAAAACATAATGGAAGTTATCAGAAATCAGGAGTTCTTACTCCTTCCAGCTGAGGAGCTTCATAAACTACTGGCCAGTGATGATGTAAACGTGCCTGATGAGGAGACCATCTTCCATGCATTAATGATGTGGGTCAAGTATGACACACAGAGGAGATGCAATGATCTGAGTATGCTTCTTGCCTTTATACGACTACCCCTGCTTCCTCCACAGGTAATTGCATGTGATGCTGTTGCCATACATCCAGCATCCTGAGGAAATCTGTACTCAAAATAAACCATGACCATTGAGAGAAGGAAAGGCATATACACAAAGGAGAAAAGCTCATGGCAGTACCCTCTAAGAAGATTATATTAGCTTATCGTAATACAAGGTTTTAAAATCAAATTAAACATGCATGTAGGTAACTGTGCAAAGAATGAATTGAGATATAAGACACTGGAACTTTCCAGGTCTTGCATCCTTTGTTCCATGCTAGTTATTTTCAGAATCTTGGGTGCTCTCTCACTGTCTGGTGATCACTATTAGCCAGTGATAGACAGCTGTTAACTAGTGACAGATGATATGGCCGTGACTTTGGCCCAGCTCTCATTATTATTGCCCATCCATTTCCACTGTGTGTTGAAATGTGGGGAACCTAGAGTTAAATTGGTGTTCAAAAATTAACAGAAATTATGGGACACACATGAGAGGAGGCCGAGAAGTTAACCAGGGCTCCAGATATGTCTTTCCTTCATGGTTCTGTCATTTCCTTCCTTCTTCTGTCATTAGATTTGGGGAGATTCTCCTAGGGTTACAGTTACTGAAAATCAATACAGTTAATTAATTAAAATCAATTAAAATGAAACAGGGTGTATTTCTCATAAGTCAATGAGTCAATTTGTTTTTCTCAAGGCTACATGTTATACAAGGGGTTTGATTTCTTTTGGGTTCAGCTGATTTAACTTGCTTAGTGAAACAACATTTATTAACATTAAAAATAGACTGTGATTTTGGTATAATTAATGACTTTTAAATTAACTTTCATTATAATGTTTCATAGACTCAACATAGCATGTGTTCATCCTTTATTCCTCAGCTCTCAAGTAGGAGCAATTATATTCATTCCTTATATATTTTTCAATCAACAGAAGCCCATGATGTAAAAACAAAACTATATTTTTTGCTGTGGTAGAAAAATATATACATATTCAAACACAATAAAATTGTAAATGCAATATATGTTATGTGTAATTATGTATTGTTTGGTATATAAAAAACACAAATGTAATTACAAGTAATATTTTAAAAAGAAAAAGCATATGTTTCTCATGAAATAGAGATTATTTTCAACACACTCAAACTATTAAGTAACTAGCACTCTATTTTTAAAGACTCAAAACTTTGATTTATGTTTTTAAGGTAATATAATAAATATATTTAGTTTTAGGTGAGTGAGTTGAAATGATATTTGAAAGACCAATGTGAATCTGTGGATCAAGATACAACAACAAAAAAGAAAAATTCAAAGAGATATTTAAGATGAATATAAACATGTATAAAAGAAAAGTACAATTTAGAAACAGTCAAATTAAATAACTTATAAGTACTTTTGTACTTAATGATTACTGTGATTGTATTTCGTAAATACATGAACATTCTAGAAAAAAATCAAAAACTTTTATAGAGAATGAATTAATAGCAAAACATACTAATTATTAATTATAATAAATAATACAGGTTATTGTCAAATAATAAAATTTTATTATTTTAGTATCAAAGTTTATTATCAATATTATCAAATAAAATTTATTGACAGACAATAAATTAATAATTAAATAGTAATAACAAAACTGAAGTAAAGATCTTTCATAGTCATGAGAAAATTGACTAATTTGGATGGAATATTTGTTTGATGTTTTCTTACAATCTGCATTCTCATGGCTATTTTGTTGTTAATCTTATTTGTGTCTGCTAAATGCACAAGAGAAAATCTGATTTTATAATCTATTGATTATAAATGAGTACATGACATTAAGATTAATAAATTATGGTCATTTTGTGTAGAAAATGCAAGAAGAAGGCAAACTTAAGAATGAGGATTTTATATTAGAATAGTAGAGGAAATGAGTTTCAGAATAGGAAGAAGCATAAAAAGACTCAAAAACAGCAATGCCTATTTTATACTTTATTGAAATTCAATAGTTTATACTGCAATAAATTCAATAATTTTACTTTGTTTTAGAAAGGCCTATAAGAAGTGTCAAAATGAAAGACATATTTGAGTTATTTTTCATCAAGAAGTTCTATTTCTTTAAAATAAGAGAGAAAATATTTTAGTATACTTCCAGGTTTTTAATACCATGAGCTTAAAACTTTCACCAGCATTAGGAAAAAGAGGAAGTTTAAGTCTTCTTAGAAAAACATGTAGAGTGAAGACACTGTTAAACCTTAGTAATGTACTGCTTCTTCTATTATTCCTATTTCTAAAGGGTACAAAATATCATATTGCTATGCAATCAGAACACTTTAACATTCTGTAACTATTATTTGTATTGATTTTAACTCATTTCATAAAATATATATTTGTAATGTGTACATTGATACTCATTTGTTTTTTGTTTATTCAAAGCACCCTGAGGGTAACACGATAGCTTAATGGTAAAATATTTGCTTAGCATCCACAAGACCCTGGCCTCAATCCACAGTACTGTCAAAAAACAAGAATTGTAGATAAGCATTAAATATTTGGTTGGTTCTTTTCTGATGAATTATTTAGAAAGTATAATCACATGGCTCTAAAAATCAAGAGACTACAATTTGTTATATTTTCAAGTAAAACTATGTTCACCGAAATTCCATCTGTCACAAGAATGACTTAGAAGTTTGGAGATATACACAGACTGTGTGTCAAATTTTAGGGTTGGTGTTATTTCCTTCAAAACAAAGATAAATTTTTTCACAACATCTTAGTAATCAAAGCTACCAATTCAAGGAAATGTAGCAGTGCATGTGGTTTTTTTGTATGCTTAATCAATTTTTAATGAGAAGCTAAAGTAATGAAAAGCAAATTTGCAATGTAATAATAAAACATCCTGATTTAGAGGAATGTGTAATTTTAACTCCAATATATTATCTCAGTTTTAAGTTTAATCAAGGACTGATTCCACTAGCTAACTTATATAATCGTGGTGTGATCTAATAACAAACATTAAAAAGTGTCCATGTATTTAAACTTAGGAAACAGATTTTACCTATACTTTAGAAGAATTAAATTTTTATTGAATCTATAATAAATTTGTCCTAAAATAATTTTTGCTTTAGTAAATGTACTATAAGAAGCAAGAGTGAGGTCTCCAATTATTGTCTTAATTGAAAAACTGATAATACATTTGATGCCCATGACAGAATCTCTTGCCCCAAAATTATAGCAACAGATAAAAGTCTAAATGTAAAGCACGTATAGTATCTAAAAGCAAATTAATATAAATAGAGAATTCATAAATCCTGTGGAAGATACAAGGAATAGGTTGCATGACTGAATAATTTTGAATTTGTTTTATTTCCATAAACTATATCTTACTAAGTCTAGGGATTCTCCAAGTTTTGATGGAAACACTTAGTGTTTAATATATTATATGTCTTATAATTATCATTGAAATAAGCTCTTAACTTTTCAAATCAGTGAGAAAATATAGTTTTTCTAAGACTAACATAATTATGAACACTTATTGTAATGTTTTGTATATTTTCTTTATGATCTGAATGTTGTCTAGTGAGTTAAAATAGAGACAGTCTTTGCTGCACAACTAAGAAATTAAAATTTGGCATGGCACTATTTTTTTAAATCTTAAAACAATGAACTTCCAACAAATACATAAAGAGCATATAAAATCTCAAACATGCAGTTTTATGATCAGTTAGCCTACTATGATATTCAAAATTGATGTTACATTAAAACAAAAAGATCAATATATTTTAAATCAGAGCCAGCCAAATAGGTCAGTGGATCAAAGTGCCTGCAAGCAGGCACAGGGGCCAGGGGGTCAATCCCCAGGCCTGCCATGCCGGCTCTGCCCCTGGAGCACACTGAGATAACAATTGAGATTGGGTGTGGTGGCACATACCTGTAATCCCAGCTCTTGGGAGGCTGTAAATAGGTAGATCACTGCAACTCTGATCTAGTAGTGAGACCCTGAATGCCCTGTAGATCTTTCCCTAAAAATTACATATATATATATATATATATATATATATATATATATATATATTCAACAAAGCTACCAGTGTTATAAAAATGTGTGCCTATACTACTTATGGGCACAAACTTTGCCATGTATATGTCATTTTCCTTGGTTTAGTCCAGAATGCCAAATAACTGAAATATAATCTGAAAGCCATACTTTGGCTATCATATGTTAAGTATCTCAGGTTTAAGTTTTAATTAAGGACTGATTCCACTAGCTAACTTGTGCACATCATCTTCCTTGTTACAAATATTCCTCTACTTCAATTATCTTCCAATGTTGTATTTTCAATTTTTACTCTACTTAGGATATTTCTAATTATCTGACAAAGTTGTCATTGTCCCAACATTTGAAAACTAAACTTATTCCCACCAACTCTACCAATTCTCTTCAATTGTTATCAAAATGAGTATTATTTATAGTTATAATTTAGTTTTTCATAATTATTCTCTTTTAAAAATCATACCAATAAATTAGAGAAAAAGGAGGGCAGCAAGGAAAGCCAACATTTTGGCCCTAGCCTTCCAAGGTCAATTAAGACTCAGAACATATGAGATCTTGTACTGTAAC